ACAATAAAAGATCCCCTAACAGCTCTAGAGTTGCTTGAGAAACTCTTGGGCTCTTTGATGGTTAAGAAGGAACACAGGCTTTGGAGGCAGGCAAGTTTGGGTACTAATCCCATCCCTCCACTTTCTAGCTACGTGTACTTGTATCGGTGACTGAATCTCTCCAAGTCTCAGTTTCCTCTCTGTAAAATGGGTAGGTCTATATTAGCCACGTAAATCTACATGTATGGACACAGAAAGAGGTCCATGATCTGTTTACTTTGAGCAGAAAATAATGTGTATACTATTTTCTACTAGTGAAAATATGGTGGCATACTACAATCTATAAATTCATATATACATACATACACGTTTCAAAATTCTGTAAGAATATATATCAAACTCTTCAGAGCTATGGGGTGAATGGAAAGATTATTGGAGAATATTGGGGAAGAGGTTTTTATACTCTAAATATTTCTTTATTATTTTAATACTTTGCTACAGTAGTTTTATGGTTTTTATATAAAGGCATTTATATAAAGGCATTATTTTTGAAAAACACATGACTATAGCTCCCCAGCAGAGGTGTTGTGAGAACTAGAGACGAAGTGTGTTGAATGCCTGGCACCTCAGTGAATGGTACCCAACAGTATGGCAGACTTCTTGAAAGACCCTGGGTGTAGAGGCGGGTGGAGGAGGATCTATGACGTACTCACTTGTCTGCAGCTTAAGCAGGCTGAATTCCTGGGGATATTTATCCTTTGGGACTTCAGGCAATGAGGTTTCAGAGGAGTGATCAGTATGTGAGGAGGAGGAGGAGAGCAGATCCAAATCTGCAGCAGGGCTGGAGAGGAGGCAGAAGGATTAGCTTCTTCTGTGCGCTTAAATCGGCAGTTAGAACCTGATCTTATAGACCTTACACTAGAATTGGCCTCACGGATGAGGACTAAGATTGCTCCTTGGTAAAAGTCCATGAGTATAATATTTATTTATTCATAATCTGAGGGGACTGAAACATATTCAAAGGTGCATGCTTAAAAGCAGTTTGGTGTCAGAAAGTTAAACATAGAAATACCATATAACCCAGAAATTCCACTCCTGGCACAAACCCAAAAGAATTGAAAACAGAGTCAAATAGATACTCATATAAGATGTTCATTGAGGCATTATTCATCAGAGCCAAAGATGGAAACAACCCAAATGTCTGTTGACAGATGAATGGGTATATAAAATGTGGTATCTACCTACAATGGAATATTATTCAGACATAAAATGGAATGAAGTTCTGATACATTCTACAACATGGATGAACCTTGAAAACATTAAGGAAAGTGAAATAAGCCAAACACAAAAGGACAAATATCGCATGATCCCACTTTACCTAGAATAGGTAAATTCCTAGAGACAGAAAGTAGATTAGAGTACCAGGAACTGGGGAGAGGGTAGAAGGGAGAATTATTGCTTAATGGGTACAGAGTTTCTGTTTGGGGTGATGAAAATGTTTTGAAAATAGTAGTAACAGTTGCACAACATTGTGAGTGTAATTAATGCCACTGAATTGTACACTTAAAATGGATAAAATGCAAATGTTATGTCGTATATACATTTACCACAATTTTTTTTAAAAAAAGAATGATACATGTTACGACACAGATGAATCTTGAAAAAATTAGGCTGAATGAAAGAAGCCAAACACCAAAGACACATATTGGTGACTCCATTTATATGAAATATTCAGAACAGGTAAATCCATAGAGATAAAAAAGTAGATTAGTGGTGGTCCAGATCTGGGGGGGATAGGGGACATGATGGGGTGAGTGCTAAAGAGTATAGGCTTCTTTGAGGGGGGGTGATAAAAAGGTTCTAAACTTGACTGTGGTGATGGTTGCACAACTCTATGAATACACTAAAAGCCACTAAGTTGTACAATTTCAACTGGTAAATTACATGGTATGTGAATTACACTTCTGTAAAACCGTTAGTCAAAAAGATAAAATAAAATAAAACCAGTTCAATAAAACCAGTAAATGGAAATTAAAAAAAGAAAATCAGTATAAAGAGACGAGGAAGAAATAATCAAAAACAAACCTAGACTGAAATGGTTATAATAATAAAGCATTATGTTTAGCGTCAGACTTCCTGGCAGTTAAAAAGGCCTGCAACAAACAATTGTAAGTGTTAGCAGAAAGGGTGTCCCTTCTGGTCTAAGCGGCCTTGCATTTGATAGACAGACTTGGACAATGTTTTTAGGTATAATTATCTGTTATAAAGTCATAGGATCATTTTTCATAGTATTACATCGCCCTTATATTTGAACAGTTTCAAACCAACTTCATATTGGTTGTCTTGCTTGCTCCCTAGGAACAATCCTGTGATACAGGTAGGGCTGATATAATCATTTCCATTTGAAAAGGAAATGGGCCCTCAAAGAAGTTAGCGAGAAAACGCACCCAGACAGGGGCAGAGCTGAAAATGCAGTTTAACTCCAGACTATGTTGCCTAAAAATCATAAAGAAACCTAGTTCCGGGGAGGTGGGTATAGCCCAGTAGTGGAGTGCATGCCTTGCATGCACAAGGTGCTGGATTCAACCCCCAGTACTTCTGTTAAAAAAAAAAATTTATCATAAGAAGAGGGGAGAGTAGAGCTCAGTGGTGGAGTGTATGCCTAGCATGTAAGAGGTCCTGGGTTCAATCCCCAGTACCTCCATTTTATAAACAAACAAACAAACCTAATGACCTCCCCTCACCAAAAATCAAAAATTAAAAAAAAAAGGATCCTAGTTCCATAACTCCCAAGTCTTATATAGCTTGATCTCCAGTTTTAAATAAACATATCTAGGGTATCTTTGAATTTCTGTAGTGTGTGGGTAGAGCAGAAATGCAGTAACTCAGAGCACCCCCACCCCAGTTCAAAACATGATAATTTTGACACTGGGGTAAAATATATCTCTCCTAAATATTTTTTTATGTATTTATGTTTGCTGAACAAACTCAGTAGAAAAGATTGCAAGGATAAAGGAAACTTTCCAAAAGAACTTTAGAAATATCCACTTACTTTGTTTACTCAACAAACATTTAATAAGTATGCTTTGTGGCAGGCACTGTTCTGGAGACTGGGGATCCAAACAGTCCCTGCTCTCAGGAGCTTAGGGTCAAGGGGGAAAGGACATGGAAACAGATAAACAGGTGATTGTAGAAGAATAGGTAAGTGCAGAGTTGGAAAAAGTAGATTTTGCAAAAACGCTCGTATGATCTTAATTGTGAAAAATAAATACAAATGTATATGTATAAGAAAGAAATAGATTTTTTTCTCATGCATTTGAAAAAAATAAAATGTTAACATTAAGTCTCTAAGAGATGGGATATTGTGATTGTTATTTTTAATACTGTTTTTATATTTTCAAAATTTCTACCAATGAACTTAAATTACTTTCATTATAACAAAAATTTGTTTAAAAAAGGTTTTCAAAACTTTTTACTGTAAAGGAAATATAAACAGAGAAAAGTACATAAAACATACAGCTTTACAAATAATTACGAAGCCAACATCCAGGACGAGAAATAAAACATAGTCAGCCCTTTCCTCCCACTTGCCAGAAACCATCTGTGTGTCTCTTTCTTAAAGAAGTAACCACTATCCTGAGTCTGACTGTTATGGTAATCATTTCTTTGCTTTTCTTTAAGATTTACCACCTGTGTATGTGTGTATTCCCACAAAATATATAGTTTAACTTCCCCTGATTTTGAACGTTGTAACAGCAAGCCCTTATTGTACGCCAGGAGCCTTCAAATCACTTTATATGCATTAATGCCTTTAATCCTCCCAGCAATCCTGTGAAGTATTATCTCCATTTTGCAGATAAGAAAGCTGAGGCCCAGGGAGGAGAAGTCATAACTGCCCAAGTCCACACAGGTACCAAGTGACACAGTGAGTTTTGAACCCGGTCTAGCTCCAGAATCTACGCTCTTGACAAACATGTCACATCACCTCTCAGACTGTTGGCTCCCTGCCCAGAATTTATCCCAATGCTTACAGCTCTTCACTGGACCTTACTTACACTAGGTAAACAGATGCTCCCCTGGGGCCGAGAGGCCCACTGACACTTGGACCTGTTTCAACAGAAGATGAGGGGCTGACGTTTCTGCCAGAGGATGTTGGGTTGGCAGAGCATCCCTTAGATTCCAGAAAATCATTCTGTTTAGTACCTGCAACACATTGATAAAAATACCTTCTACTTTATCTTTTTTCCCAGATGATAAATAATTCCTATTTTTTTCATTTATTTTTTTAAAAACTTAACATTTGAGCATTTATTGTGTACTGCAGACCATCTTAGATACTTTATCCCATTTAATTCTTATAACAACCCGCAGACGTAGGTATTACTTATCCTTCCATTTTACAGATGAGGAAACTGAGGCTCAGAAGGTTACACAACTAAGATCATATAGAAAATAAACATGTTGGCTCAGATTGGATCACAGTTCTTCTAACACTAAAGTCCAAAATCCTAACCTCTGTGCCAGACTGCTAGCCCGTCCACATGGCTCACCTACTCTGAACTAAGTGGAAGAGAGAAGATCTGAATCGAACTCTACACCACTGTGCATTGTATTGAGCATCTCAATACAGTATCTCAAAGGATTTGTTCAAAGAAAGACTAATGAATATAGCTGGTGACCGTAATCCAAAGAAATATCTCCAGAACTTCAATGGGTTCCCCTCCCATGGCAGTGTCATCCTTCATTTATACACATCTTCCCCACCAGACTGTGCCCTATTCATCTTAGGAGCACTCAGAGCTGTGCATGGCTCAAAATAGATGTTCATTAAATGTTTGAGTGAATAAATGGAAAAGAAGTATAACTTCCCAAACACCCACCATGGCAAGTAAGGGAGTCCTGAAAGCCAGTGATGGTCAAATAGAGAAGCACAACCCATTACCTTCACTTTGCTCTACAGTGACTGATTCCTGAAAGTCAGTCAGTTCTCTCATCAGTTTAGAGGTGTGTGCCTTGTCCAGTCACTTAAAAGAAAGTCAGATGAACGGATATTACACTTCTTTATGCATACCTTCCTAGAGCATAGGTGCTCCGTAGATAAGAAGCTCCGGTTATAAGAAAATTCCAAGAAATAAAAGGCAGACTTCTCTGATTCTGGAGCACATTTTTAGACTGACTGCTGTTCCACCCACACAGTATCCTGCTTCACGAGTATACGGTATCTACTAGGCACGTGCTGCAAATTCCCACCAACTAACAGTGTGGCTGCTACTTAGCCAATTTTCTATTCATTTCTTATCAACTCCCGCTCAGATTCGTACAGCAGGTAAATCATATCTTTTCCATTCTTGTCAAGTCCTAACCCTATCACCAAACCCTTTACTCCTTTTTTTCCCCCCAAACCCTTTATTCTTAACAGGACTTTGCCTGTGACTCTATAAAGTTTAAGGGCCAGCTAGCTACCTCCTCCCACCACGATACCCTCATTCTGGGATGTCTCAGGGCACAATATAAGGACAGTTGCATCAGAGTTACTTGAGAGGTCTGTTAAAAGTTCAGACTCCTAAATCCCATTATAGACCTATCACACTGGAATCTAAGTGAAGCCAGGAAACCCACCCTTTGAAGCGATCCCCCTCCCCCAGCAGCTCTCAGGCTCACGCTTGGCAGTGAATTTCCTCCTTTTCCAGTCCAGCTCCAACACTGCACTGCATTCTATCCCCGTCCCTGATTCCCTACATTTGTGCGGGCATGAGAATCACCTTCAGGAGCTTGTGTGTTCAACATGCAGATTCCGGGGCTCCAACCCAGACCTACAGGGGAAGACCCGGGAATCAGCACATTTAAGAAGCACCTCAGGTGATCCTCAGAGCCAGACAAGTGTGGGGAGAGCTGTTCTGGAATATGGCACGGACCCCACAGCAAGCCCTCGGTACAAGGAGGTTTGAGCATTTGGGATGGAGTGGAGCCCAGCAGAGGGGCCAAGAAGGGAACAGAGCTGTGAAGAGACAGCACAGAGCCCCAGCAGCCCCACATGCGGAGTTTCAAATGCAGTGTCAACAAACATAACCCAGATCACACTCTCTGTCCACAATGCAGTACTAGAAATGCAGTATCAGAAACCAATAATTAAAAGACAGCCAAAGAGCATCCATAAGCTTGGAAGCTCAAACCACCCCCTCTAAATATTTCATATAGTAGAAGAAAACATAATGGGAATCACAAGGCACTTAATGATCAATGACATAAATACTATATATCAAAGCTTGTGGGATCCAACTAAAGTAGTCATTAGAAACTAGAACCTCAAATGCATGTACTGTATTTTACTGAATGTAAGACACCATCCATTGGAATAACATTATTATTTTATGTACCACGAGGAAAAGAGACTGCCAATTAAACTGACACATGCTTTATCACTTAGGATTTTTATTTCATACGTGCTGAAGCACCCTTTTAGAATTACTTAGATATCGACTTTAATCACATATTTCTCGTGTGCATATTTAAAGAAGAAAAATATAAGCCAGATAAATTGGCTAAGGCATTCTTACACCTCTCTCACATTCAAGTCTGATTACTGAATCACTTTTCAACTCAACCCCTAATGTCCACATTTTCCACCTAAATCAACCTGAGTGCAACAAGAATGAGAATCTAGGTGATGGAGCATTTCATAAGTGAGTGCTCCTCTTTTGCCTCTGGAATTTTCTTCCAAGCCACGGATACACCTTCCACATTATTCAGTGCTCATCCAGCGAAGTTTACTTAGGACAGCAGCCTCACACGGGCTACTGCGCCCACAGCACTCGTAACACCAATCCAACTTCAGAGACACAAACTGTGAAAAATGTCCATCTTACAACTGACCGATTATAGTGTTGAACAAAACGAAGAATTTCAAAATTAATGGCCTAAGCTTTCAATTCAAGAAATAAGGGGAAAAATGACAAACCCCTCAAGATGACAAGAGAAGAAATCATCAAATGAAAGCAGAAATGAATGAAATGAAGATTATCAAAACTATGGTTTCATGGAAAAAACTAATAATGTAGATAAAATTCAAGAAAAAAACGTTAACACAAGTATACAGGATAAGAAATGAAAAAGAGGTCATAATTACTAATAAAATAGAAATAACTTCACACATAAAGAAATTGAGTACCAGAAATATCAAGTAACTTGCACAAGACTACAGAGCAATGGAGTGTAACTTATAAAATGTAACTGAGTGTTACAGTAATCAAGATGGTACTGACAAAGATAAATCATTAGAACAAAGTAGAAATGTAATGTAAATGTAAACAGAATAAACTTTTATGTGATAATAGTGAGGGAACCATCTTATCTCAGAACCATAAATGGATGCTTTATTCAAAAAGTATTGCTGAAACAACTAATTAACCATTTGGAGTGAAAATAAAATTAAATCTCTCTTATCCCAAAATAAATTCCAAATGAATTATGAATTTGAATGTAAAAAAATTAAAAGGTGTACATGAAAAAGTAATAAGTAAATGTTTATATAATGC